GCATGCTCTCCTCTGGTGCTTGGATTCGAGCGGTTGGAACGTCACAACCCCCATATCAACTGGGCTGAACGCCACATTGAGTCTTGGTCTACTTCCTGTCACATTTCATGTCTTCGTTCTGCGGCTCCTGCTATTCAGTCCCCTAGAGGTAGGGGGGAGATGGACTCTCCTGACCTTACTTCTGTCCCCTTCGAGTATCATGATCTGGCATCAGTCTTCAGTAAGTTCAGTGCGACATCTCTTCCACCTCACAGACCATACGACTGCGCCATTGACTTATTACCAGGAGCCCCCCTTCCCAGCAGTATATTATTTAACATCTCCAAACCTGAACGTGAAACAATGGAGAAATATATTAATGAGTCTCTAGCTGCTGGTATTATTCGGCCATCTTCATCTCCTCTCGGTGCTGGTTTTTCTTTTTTGTGGGAAAGAAAGATGGTTCCCTCCGACCCTGTATTGACTACAGAGGATTAAATCAGATAACTGTCAAAAATAAATATCCCCTACCACTACTGGCATCAGCTTTTGAACCTGTTCAAGGAGCGACAGTGTTCACCAAACTCGATTTAAGAAACGCCTATCATCTCCTTAGAATAAGGGAAGGAGATGAATGGAAAACAGCTTTTAAGACCCCCATAGGCCAATTTGAGTACTTGGTCATGCCTTTTGGTCTTACTAACGCTCCTGCCTGTTTCCAAGCTCTAGTCAACGACGTCCTCAGAGACTTTCTGAATGTTTTTGTTTTCGTATACATTGATGATATCCTGATCTACTCTAAAAACCTCTCTGATCACAAGAAACACATTCGTCTGGTCCTTCAGAGACTGCTGGAAAACAAACTCTTCGTTAAGGCTGAAAAATGTGAATTTCACCAATCCTCTGTTACATTTCTAGGGTTTGTGCTCGAGGGCGGGCAGGTGAAGCCATCCGAAGACAAAATAAAGGCAGTTCTGGACTGGCCGACACCTGAAAACCGTAAGCAGCTTCAAAGGTTCCTGGGGTTTGCAAATTTCTACAGACGCTTCATCAGAAATTATAGTCAAACAGCTCTACCCCTCACAGCCCTGACTTCTGTGAAGAAGACATTTCAATGGACACCAGAAGCTGAAACCGCATTTAACAAGCTTAAGACTCTGTTTTCCAGCGCACCCATCCTGATCCAGCCTGACCCCTCTAAGCAGTTCATCTTAGAGGTGGACGCATCTGACTCCGGTGTAGGAGCTGTATTATCGCAAAAATCAGATTCAGACCAGAAAACTCACCCCTGTGCATTCTTTTCACACAGACTCTCTCCGGTAGAACAAAATTATGATGTCGGAGACAGAGAACTACTTGCCATTAAACTCGCCTTGGAAGAATGGAGACATTGGCTCGAGGGCCCCAAGCATCCGGTATTGGTTTGGACAGACCACAAAAACCTGGCTTACCTTCAATCAGCAAAAAGATCCAACCCACGCCACTCTAGATGGTCTCTGTTCTTTTCTCGCTTCAATCTCATCTTCTCTTACAGACCCGGTTCCAAAAACATCAAGCCTGACTCTCTCTTTCGTCTGTACTCCTCTGATCAACCTGAGACACCCGAGCCTGTTCTTCCTGCCTCATGCACGGTTGGAGCCGTTTCCTGGGAGATCACTGATCTCATCAATTTAGCCCTGGCCTCGAACCTGACCCAGGTAACGGACCTCCAAACAAAACCTATGTTCCATCTTCTGTTAGATCCCGTCTCATCCAGTGGATGCACGCAGCCAAGTTCTCAGCCCATCCCGGTGTGAGCAGAACTATCGCACTCATTACAAGACGCTTTTGGTGGCCGTCCCTTCACAAGGACGTGAAGGAGTACGTGCTGGCTTGTCCAATCTGTGCCAGAAACAAAACCACTCACCCACCACCTTTTGGGCTCCTGCGTCCTCTACCTGTTCCAACCCGTCCATGGTCCCACATCGCTATCGATTTTGTTACCGGTCTTCCAGTCTCCAGAGGTATGTCCACTATCCTAACCATTGTTGACCGTTTCTCCAAGGCCTGTCATCTAATTCCACCTCAGGAAATTACCCACTGCATTCCAGACCGCCCAACTCCTCGTGAAACATGTCTTCCGTCTTCACTGCATACCCCAAGAGATTCTCTCAGATCGTGGTCCCCAGTTCATCTCGCTGGTCTGGAAAGCTTTTTGTTCTGCTCTCAATTGCAAGATCTCCCTCACCTCCGGTTACCATCCACAGACCAATGGGCAGACGGAGAGAATGAATTAACAGCTTGAGTCCACTCTCCGCTGCCTAACCTCTAATAACCCGACTGACTGGAGTCAGCTTCTCTCCTGGATAGAATACGCTCACAACTCACAGAAATCCGCTGCAACTGGTCTGTCCCCATTTCAGGTCTCAATAGGATATCAACCTCCACTTTTCCCCGCAGACGACAGAGAGATAACGGTCAGGTCCGTCCATCATCACATCCGCCGCTGTCACCGCATCTGGAACAACACCATCACCACTCTCAACCGCACCTCCGCCACAACCAAGAAATTTGCCGACTCCAAGCGACGCCCTGCTCCCGACTATACCCTAGGACAAGAGGTATGGTTGTCAACCCGGACATCCCTCTTAAAGCCATGTCCAAGAAACTCTTGTCACGATTCATCGGTCCGTATAAAATAGCCCAAGTCATAAATCCCTCCACTGTCCGCCTGCACCTGCCACCTGCTCTACGCATCCACCTAACCTTCCACGTTTCACAGATCAAACCAGTCATCACCAGCTCTTTGTGCCCACCTTCCGACTCCCCTCCACCCGCCCTGGACATTGACGGCCATCCGGCCTTCACAGTCTGCCGGATCGTGGACTCCCGTCGGCGAGGTCGCGGTTGGCAGTACCTCGTCGACTGGGAGGGCTACGGTCTGGAGGACCGCACCTGGGTTCCTGGTTCTTTTGTCCTCGATCCATACCTCATCGAGGTGTATGAGAAGTCCCTCCCGTCCACTTCCTCTGGACCGCCAAGAGGCGGTCGTTGCGGGGGGGTACTGTTGGGATCTGGAGATCTACCACCTGTCTCCAGCAGAGAGCGCCGTGGGTCTCCTGGGCTGGAGCCCTCAGCACACCTGAGGATCATCAGCCCATCAGGAGACCTTCTACATAAGCAGCAGTCAGACCTTCCTTCAACGCCGCAGTGTTGACCAAGTTTGGTTAGCGAAACCTGAGCCTCTGTTGATCTAGAGAATCTTAGTAGACTCTTGAGAGAAACTAGATTCTAACCTGCCTCTGTCTTCTTTGCTCACAGAAAACCCGACTGAAGTCTGAAACTCTGGATGAGCTTTGCCTGGAAACCTGCCTGCCTGCCCAAGGAAGCCAAACCTGAAGATATCAGTCTGGATCCCTCCACCAGCTCTCAAGGAAGAGCTAGGAAACCAAGCCAAGGTCTGAAACTCACAAACCAGAAGCTAGACGCCGCTGCTGCTGCTGAGCTCCCTGCTGAGTCTACAGTCTCTGGACCCAACCGGTTCCCCCTCTCAAAGGGATCTGCCAGAACCTCATCAAGGTACATTCTGAATAAAAACACTCGACAAACCATCAAAGCTGCCTGGCTAATCAAACTATCCATCTCTGCAGATATCAGTGATTCCAGTCCCGGACCTGTACCAGAACCAGTTCATATTACTCTGTGTGTGTTTCCTCAATAAACTCTGTTAAACTTTTACTCAGTTTCGTGTGGTGTTCTGCATGTGGGTTAAGTCTCTTAAGCCCATCATGACAATAACTTACATTAAATTAAATTTCATGGGGATGCTCCTGTAAACAAAACACTTAAAGATTCTCAATTATACAAAGATGTTTTTACTAAGAGGTCGACTCCAAAAACAAATACATTGGTCTGAATCAGTGATGTCATTTAGAGTGAAGGAAAGTTATTCCAATGAAACACAAAGGTTTTCTAGAATAAACCTAAACAAATGAAGGAGTATACATATTTGTGCATGGCATTGTAGAGTTTTCAATGTTTTGGGAAATTATTAATCTTTTTTTTTTTTTTCAGTTTAAGATGATTTCTCCAAAGCAGCAAAATGAGGTACTTCTAACTCTCCCTTTAAAGTGGAGTGAATCCAAGAAATCTCAAATTCACCTGGAGCTTTCTCTTCAGTCTTGGTTCAACAAAAATAGAATTAAGGTTGACTGCTCAGTTGAAGATATCCTGGCAGATGGGAGTGCTGTGATAAAAATTCAACCTCTTGCAGGTGTGTTAAAACCAAAGAATGTCATTTTCCAAAACATCTGATAATCCAGTATCCTCATAGCAACAACAAAACTGTAAACAACATGAGCTGCATTAGTTTTATTTTGTATGTTTTACTCCTTTTAAGCCGTGGCTCAGCTCTGGAAACTGAGAGGTCAAACTTTAATCATGAAAGATGAGAGAAAAGTCACCATTCTTTCACTCAATCTGGGGGCACCAAATATTGATGAACAAACTGAAGATGGTGATTTAGTGAATACTGCTCCATCAGCTGCTTTAAAAAGCCCAGGACCTTCAGTGTCACAGCTGCCATTGGTATGTACTGAAACACAGCTACATTTAAAATTAATTATGTATTTTGCATAGCTAGTAACCTACTTCACTATTCTATAAAGGAGAAGATGCAGATTGAAGAACCAACAGACCAAGTTAATGAAGCAGGAAACACCCCTGCAGACAGTAAAAATAAACCTGTGGAAATTGTTGTCCCACTGGCTCATTACTGGTATGTGAGCCAGATCTACAAAGATGAAATCAGACGCATAAAGAAAGAAACTAAAGTTAACATAATGCCAAATGTCACTGTGACATTTAACACTGAACATGAAGGTGGAAATCCAAGTGAGGCTCTCAATAGGTTTGCAGATATTGTCCAAAAGTGTTTGTCTGATTCCTCTTCCTCAGTTATTCCTCTGAAGTTTGTAGATCCTGATCAGTGGGGTGATGCACTGAAAGTTATTAATAACAATGACAGCAAGCTTTTAGTCACTATGTCCTCTGAGGTAATGACTGTCTGTGGGCCACAGCATTTTCAGAATGTTCTCAGTTCAACCTTGAATGCAACACAGAAATTCAACTCTCCTTATGAAGAATTTGAAAAGCCATCTAGGTCTCAAAACTTCAATGAATATCTCGCCGATGCAGGACTAACCACAGCTAAGAACTCATCTGAAAGGTTGATTTCTTCTTATGGTAACCAACTTGCAAAGATCACAGCTAAGTTCAATGTGGAATCCACCATCAGTGGGAGCAAAGTTAATGTCAACGCTTTCTACAAGAGACCTGGAGGAAACCCAGCCATGAAGAGCCATGCTAACAGACCTCTGCTATGTCTGAACGAAAAGATGATGACGTCACACATAGACCATCCTTCACCTTACGGTGCCACTGGGCTCAGTGGTTCTGAAGAGGCTTCCAGCAGAGCTAGACTGAACAGTCATACAACACAGAACAGCGAAGAATCAGCTAGAGGGGGCGCAACCAATGACAACAAAGATGACCAATGCCCTATATGTATGTCTGTATTTACTAATAAGCAACAGCTGAAGTGTAAGCATGCATTCTGTCTAGAGTGCCTGCAAAGTGCAATGAAGAACATTGGACCAATCTGTCTTATATGCAAAGATGTGTTTGGTGAGATGAAGGGAAACCAACCTGATGGAACAATGAGATGGATAAAACATAACTATGGAGACCTCCCTGGATTCCCAGGCTGTGGCCACATACAGATCACCTACAATATTCCAGATGGAAAACAAAAGGTAAATGTCTTTCATGTTTTAATACATAAACACAAAAAAAAATGCAATTTTTTTACTCAGTTCTAAGCTGCCTGCAAGTGAGCAGTTTTTTTCCATTTTGCTTTGTAGGACATTCACCCCAACCCTGGAGAACGATATTGGGGAACCACTAGAACAGCATATCTTCCAAACAACAAAGAGGGGAATGAAGTTTTGCGCCTGTTGAAAAAAGCTTTTGACCAGAAGCTGATTTTCACCGTTGGAGCTTCTAGGACAACTGGGGCGAAGAACGCAGTGACCTGGAATGATATCCATCACAAGACATCCATGATAGGAGGACCAGAGTGGTATGGTTATCTGGTTTGATCTCAGTGTATCCCTGTGGCCGAGTGTTCAGTTTCACGCATTAATCCATTTACTTTTTATGTTTTCACAGTTATGGATATCCTGATGAGACCTACCTGAGCAGAGTGAAAGAGGAGCTGAAAGCTAAAGGCATCGAGTGAAATCTTTATTCTATATTAAGTGAATAAATCTTAAATTTATGAATATCTTCACAAAATCTCACCAAAAATGAATTTACACTTTGTTCTCATAAAAGAAAAACCTTTGTAGTAGATCTTAATGATTAGTTTCAAGTTCCCTGGAAGCTGTATCACATATCTTCTTAAATGCAGCTAAATGAATTACAGAAATTTGAAAGAATTTGTTGAGTTTTTTTCTTGATTAACTTTTCTTTAAATATACTCTATAAACCTTGGGTGTAATTTACAATAAACTGTGATAAAATGTCATTTAAGGAGATTCGATGTGAATTTTTTTTTTAAATAACTAATTACATTACATAAAAAAATTACTAAATTTATCCATTGAAGATACTTCCCTTTTGCAGTCCCTGCTAGGTCGACGACTTTAAAACAGAATTGAAGATTGAATTAAAATATTTGTTAAATTAGAAAATAATGAAGAAATAGTTAGAGAAGCAAAACTTATAAACCACAAGATGTTTACACATAAGTCGCTCAATCTATGTATAAAACAGAATTGAAGATTGAATTAAAATATTTGTTAAATTAGAAAATAATGAAGAAATAGTTAGAGAAGCAAAACCTATAAACCACAAGATGTTTACACATAAGTCGCTCAATCTATGTATTGATAAGTTACCATAGTTTCTTAGTTAATACAGTGAAATGATGTTATAACTTACTGATTCTACTCTGCTTAGAGATACTCTGATTAGTCTATTTAGGGTAGTAAAGTCCTTTCTGTTCAAAATAATAGTCCAACATCACCAAGTAGATCACTTTATTTGGGGGAAATTATATTTCTCAGTGGAAAACAACTAATTGACTGAGATGTAAAGTAGAAAAATAGAAGACCAACAGTCATGATATGCAAGGCAATGATTCTGTGTAATCTAATCTTTTTTCTTAAATTGTGAGTTGAAAATAGCAGTACAGCGATATATATTATCTCAGACCTCACCTTGTTTTCATGTACCAAAGCCACACATCTCTTCTCTGGTTATGGTATATATTTTTATGATTTAAAATGCTTTAAGACAGATTTAGACTTAGACAGATTTATTTTGTCATTTTGTATACACAAGTGTAAACAAAACAAAAATTTAGTTTAGAACAGCTCTCTAGACAATTTCATTTTTAAAAGTGCAGCCTTGATAAGGTAAGCAGCAGTGATAAAAAAACAAAAAAAAAACATTGTGATATTAAATCACTATATCTAGTTATGGAATGCGCATCAATCATTTTTGCTTGGCAGCAATTATGTCAGACGGATCTGGATAGGCTCTAGTATCCAAATTGGATTTTTACCCTGGTAGAAGAAGATCTGATGCTGGAGCGATTAGGGGCCTGTTGCCTGGGCTTCACCCCATCAGTTGTTGTTGAGCTGCTACTACTGCCTCACGCTCCTGAAGCACTCACTTTTCCTGGCTCGGGGGAGGAAGAGGACGATGATGACAATGCTGTGAGGGTGGTAACTCCCTGGGTTGAAGAAGCTGACGTGGTTGAAGCAGCAGTGGTGCCATCAGCAGGTTTAGCAGCGACAGACGATGCTGGAGAAGGTGTGGAAGCCGGTGGAGCCGGCTGGGGATGTTTCAGCATTTGGCAGGGAAGCATCTAGAGTGTTCTCATTTTTTACCCTGCGGGGCTGTGCTTCCCTTGTAGATGCTGAAGATTGCCTGGGAAACAACTCAGAGGAGTTTCCATTGATGCAGAGCTCTTTGTTTCTATTTGCGCTGTATAGTATAAGCCCTTCCAGGCTAATAGCACTGTCTGGTATTGCTGGATGCAGCCAAGACTCCTTCAGAATAATGTCGCAGCAGTTAAATATCTCCTTTTAGAAAAGAATTTGAGTTGGAGATTATCCATTTTGTTTTTCCAACGAACGGACATTGGAGAGCAGGATTGATGGAAGCGGTGGTCTGTGGGGATCTCTCTTTAGCTTCACAGTTAGACCCCCTTTGCAGCCCCGCTTTCTCCGTCTCGTGCATCTCTTCCTCCGTCCGTTATTATCCGCTGTTGTCTTGTTTACATCCGTCCATAGCACTCCGCAGCATTTTAATCGGTCAAAAAATGTAAGTATTTAAAACATTTTGTGTCAGTATCTCCAGCAGGCGTTGGCGATCATAGATGCGGTTTTGATGTCTAGTTAGTATCGTTTAAGCAGCATATTTTGTGAAATTGTCAAGAGGAGTTGTTCTTGGCCACTGCCTTGGAGCGCCGCCATGATAACAAGATGGAAACCAAAAAAAGAAAAAAATTGTAATAGAGTAGAAGAAACTTATTCCAATGGATCAAAGAAAACTCAAAATGGCAACAACTGGGACAATCAGCTTCAGAGCAACCAAAGTAAGTATCACCTATGTCAGTGGTCGGCAACCTGCGGCTCCAGGGCCGCATCCAGCTCTTTAGCGGCTCCCTGAAGCTTTTCAAAAAGTAATGAAAAATTTATTTTGTTGTTCTTTTTTTTTATTTTAATTTAGTGTACAGGAGGTCAAACACACATTCATTATGTTTTCCAATGCTGCAAACATTTTTATAATAAATACATTTAAACATACAGTATATGTATACATTTATTTCAACAAAAATGTGCATCATAGCCATAGAGATCAGTGCTCAACGCCTGCAACACGTGTCTTTCCCTTGCACAACACGTGTGCAAGGGAAAGAAAGTGGCGGGTGTGTCTTGGGCCATGGATCCCAAAGGGAAAAAAAGGAAGATAGATGATGAGAATGGGGATTCAAGGAATAATGAACTGAATCATTTGCTTTAAATATCAATGCAGAATAATTGCCTGCATTTTTGCTTTGGCATGAGAATTTGTCAAATAATAACAAATGTAATTTGAAAAGGCATATCCAGGTAAGGCTAAATATGCAACCGATCAAAAAGTTGTGAGTGAGAGAAATAATGCGATTGCAGAACTTTTGGATAAATTAGAGGAGAGCAAAGATAGATTTAAGAAAAACTCAACTGCTGCTGCTAGTTTTGCTTCAAGCATGAAAAAAACCATCCACAGATCAAACAGGCAGTGCTCTGATACAGGCATGTGAATTTTTTTCCCCCCAAATCCTCAAAATAAAAATAAAACCAAGTAACGCTGGTGACGAAGGATGTCGGATTTCTGGCTTAGAGAGCACTGCTCTGATGGATGTCAGTTCCTGCTTGGTTTCTCATGACTCAATCAACTCCTCTCAACAGAAACACATCCACCATAGAAAGATTCCTTTATTGTCAGGGGCGGATCTAGAAAAATATTTCTGGGGTGGCGAGAGGGGGGCAGGAATTTTTGAGGGGTGGCAACATATGGCATATGTTTACACTGAATTTAATCACAGTTATCACAGTTTGGTGAGAATAGTATGTACAGTACTAGTGTTTCATGTGAAACAGTTCATATTAATAATACATCGTACAATGTGATCTCACTTAATAGGAGATAGAAGAATGATAACACTACTTCTAGAGGGACCTTATGACAGGAAAGGTATTAAGGTAAGACACAGGTGCTGAGTCGCAGATGTGTGAGATTGACTGTCAGAGAGGCAGCTTTGCAGCATTTGCAAAGGAAGAAACTATAGAAAGAAAAAGTTTCCCATCAGAGATCTATGGACTGAGCTGTACTAAAGTGAGCATTACTACACAGTAGAAATAAATGGGTATTTGTTCCTCAGTAACTTGACATACAGCAGTTAAGGCAACATGAAAGGGATATTTCATGCATGTAAATATGCTGTAGATAGAGCTGCTGTATCAACAAATAAAAAAAAAAGGCAGGTACTGTATGTTACATCAAAATCTACACAAATCTGAAAGAAGCAACATAAAAATATATTTTGCTTCCAGTCTGAAAAAGTACAAAATATTTTGTGAGTAGGTTCAAACAGGTCATTTCTGGATAGTTTCATACTATATATACAAAAAAAGAAACAACACTGCTTCATATCAAGCAGGATTTACACCAGTATCACATTTTTAACTTTACTTTTAACACTTTTGGTTTTATTAAAGGAAATATCAGATTTTCTCTGGTGCCAAAACAAAATATAAACAGCTCTGTAAAGGCTCACCAGAAGGCATAACATAAAGTTGACATGCCTATAACAGCTGAATGAGATAATTTCCATGTTGCTCAGCAAAACGCTTCACAAATGTATAGGATTGTCACGATACTAAACTTTTCAACTCGATACCGATACTAAGTAAAATATTTGATACTCGATGTCATTTTCGATACCACAAGGATAAAAACAAAGACTCCAAAATTCAACAGAAACAATATTTTGAGGTTGTATGCTGTGCACAATATTAAGCAAGCTTGATAAAAAACTAAATTAAAATTAAGTGTTCCTTCCTTGGCTATGCTTTGCACACATAGCAATGACAATAGCCAAACCAGTTAAAAAACAAAATGAATTCTCAGCAGCTGCACCTGTTACAGAAAAAAGTCTGAAACCGAAAAGTGCACAGAATTATTCAATCACACAGTGTTCCAAAAGTGCCTTTTCCTCTAATCTGCGCATAAGATGAATGACTGTTTAGGTGCCACTGGTGGTAGCACTGTATCGATATTTTTGAAAATGAGTATTGTATCCGGTTGCAACTTTTCAATATCGATACTTTTGACAACCCTACAAATTTATTTAGATCCAATGCCTTTTTGCGTTTTGATTTGAGTACAACAAAAACTTGATCGTCTCTTTTCTGTCATAGTTGACCGCAAATATGTCTTTATGAGCCTGAGACGTCAGGCCTAACTAACATCATAGTTAGAGAAATAATGTTCTGCTACCTGATTTTTATCATCTCAAAATCAGCATTGCTGCAGCTATGCTAGCAACATTGTGCTTTCATTATGATTTCATTTCTCAATAGATAGTTAATCAGTTTTTACCCGTTTCATCCCGTGTCTCCTCTCCCCATGACCCCTGGCTCCCTCGCTTTGCCCCACTCGGTTTTCAAAACTAATCAGGTTCAGGCGCTCTCGCGTCATCTCATGCTGCATTCACTGCAGTCTGACATTGGGAATTAGCGGTCGTAATTCTCAAATTATCCATGATTTATAAGCCTTTCCACCCCTACTGCCAACTGGGGTGGCAGCAGGGGTGGCAAGGCTGTCATTTAGGGTGGCATTTGCCACCCTATGCCACCCCAGTAGATCCGCCTATGTTTATTGTGTTTCTATATTTTTATCAATGCAACAAATCTTGAACCGTGCGGCGAGAGCGTTCACTGCTCCTCCCTCACCTCATGCTACAATGTGACA